TTAACCCTCTCAGCTGAAACCAGGACACTTTTTCTGAGCTGTCCTTTGTAATTTGAGAGGAAAAAGTTCTCAAGATAGATTCGTGCAGTTGCATTTCTGAGTTTTGTTGGCTCGTGACATGCTATGTAACGAACAGGTAATAGCACTGCCCAGTGTGGTGTGGGACAGCACACTTCTTCAGGTGTTTGCCACTCATGACTGGTCCACAAAAGTTATGATTTACTTTATTAATACTACTAGTATTTGTAAAAGCTGAAAGTATTTAACACCTTTTCCTTTACGTACTGAGGATGTACTGAACTAGTACAGAAGCAAGCCATGAACTTCAGTCTCTTAATAGCAGGCTTATTTGGCCCTGACATGGAACTTTTGTTTGTTAGTTTTTCAGTGTGTAACTAAGGAGAAATGACTTGCATTTGAATGTTTAAAAATCACACATATTCTAATGGTAAATGCATTTCAGCAATTCCTAGAGAAGTTGGCTGCTGTTCTGGTCTTGCTTTTTAAAAAAATGTATAAGCATTTTTAAATCTTACATTTTTGTTCAATGCTACTGGTTGCCTTTCCCGTCACATTAGTTTAAGCGTAGGTAGGACAAATCAGCTGTCTCTGCTACAGTACTTGCCAAGTGGTAATATGTTCTCTCTTAACTCCTCATACAGGGGCTCTTCTCTGGAAGATTGAACAGAAGACTAATAAAGCATTTGCTTGTGGAAAAGTAACTATAAAAGGAAAACGCCACTGGTATGAGGCTTTACCCCAGGCTGTATTTGTAGCTTTAAGTGATGACACTGCCTGGATTATCAGAACAAATGGAGATCTGTATCTGCAAACAGGTACCTGAATTAATTGCAGGCTCTTTGAATTTCTGTGGGCTAAAATTATTAGAGTTCAAGTCTATGGAATGATCACAATTTGTTTTAAACTTTTATCCACAGCCAGGACATAGGGAAACCTTTTTTAATCTTGAAAAATGGTTGGAAACAGTTGTGAGATTCTGTGTAATTAGGAGGCTGAAAAAGCCAGTTTGTAGCCACTTACTTTTTGTGCCATGTGGAATACATACAGTATTTATGACATGGGAAGGATATGGGATGGATGCAGATAAATGGAAAGAATTGCAGAAAATACTGAGATAGTATCTTCACCTTGAAAATGGTATGCTGCACTGAAACAACTGAGCCTTAAGTTGGTTTTCTTTTCTTGCCTTAAGGATTTTAACAAAGTTTTAAGGACTTTGAAAGGCAATGAGATAGTATTGTGGCTGTTCAGAAGAAATGCAGGTACAGGGGGCAGAGTAGGGGAGAGTAGAAGTTGTTTTTTTGAAAAGCATAGATCTGTTGGAGGTAACTCTTACCTCTTGATAATGAAAGGAAGGTATCCTGAGACAGGAGATCATAAAGTGCTTTGGCAGTATAGGCAAGTGGTATGTATTTTATGTGATAGAGAAAGCAAAGCCAGTGGAGGAATGGAACAGACTGTGGAGCAGCAGTCTTTACAGCTGCCTTCTCACTGGATGTGAATGAGGCAAGAATCAGAAAAAGAGATAGTGCAGTGGCAACTTTGAAGTCATGGCTTTAGTTTTATCTGCTTCAGTGAATAGAAGAGGATCCATTTGGAAGGCGTTATGCGGACAATATTCGGGTGAAATACAAGGAGATAGAATGAAGGATGGAGCTCCCAGTTTTAGAGTTAAGGGAGAAGAGTATCAAGGACTCCTTAGCATGCAGGCTTTGCACAGAGAACTGAGTTGGTAAGGAAAAATTACAAATAATGTGATGAATTACTGGAGAAGTAAGAAGAGGACTGGGTAAGGTGGAAACAGTAAGATGCACTAAAGCAGGACAACATTTCAGAGTGACTATCAAAATTTTTATTTATCTTCCATATAATTTTGGTACTCTCCTACTTTGTCTTGTAGATTTAATTGCTGTAGCACAATATAGAAATTTGTCATGATTAAGAAAACTGTTTAAATACACAGCATTGTTTCAAAGAATCTCTACTCTTAAATTATTTTCTTTTAATTAAGTTTAGTAGTTACAGAGAAATCAAGTGGCATGCCCAAGGTCACATCCATATTGCCAAAAAGCAGGGATAGTGGTCATAAAGAATGAACTTGATGCCAATCACACAGGGCTTTGTGGAGGTTTGAATCAGGAATCATTTTTCTTCCCTGCGAGAGATTGGTTTAATTACACCAGCTTCCATTCTGCTGTTCTTAGGTTTCTAAATTTGTCTTTTGATGCCAAAACCAAATTCTCAGTTTATCTGTCTTGTTAATGTGAGGCAACCCGTGATAGTTGTTTCTCTAGGATCTTTTCATTCCCTCCACTGTCCTGTCTAACTTCCATAACAGAACTGTGTGCTCAGAGATTTGGAAATGAGCATTCTTCTAATTTTAGAATATCATACAGATGAGTCTGTCCATACTTGTTTTGGCAGCATGAGAAGATTAAGCACAAGCTATGTCTCTTGAGGTGTTTCACATGCAGCCATGTACATCAAGCTTCTGTAAAAGCAACTACCTGCAAACTACATGTAAATCTACCAGGACACCTCTCCTCTCAGTACTACACGCTGTGGCATGCTCTTCTGTAATATCTCTGCTGCCACGATTGAGGTCAGGCTGCCTCTCTCCCTGGCATGTTTTGGGCAAAAGTTCTTCCGTTACTGCCTTTTTTCTTTGAAGCTTCTGCCAAGTCTAATACTGGTTTTATAAATGGAAATTCCTGATACTGACACTAGAGGGAGAAAAGGAACAGAAATGACAGGACAGGACTTGTGTGCTCTGCAGGATGGTGAAGGATATACAGTGTTCTATTTCTTAAAATATAATTTCAGCTATATTAGAGGAGATGATTAACAATTTATAGGAAAAATAGTCAATCAAGGAAATAGTGATCAAATGAAAAGTGTTAGCATGTCAGGGATAGTCCCCTCTTCATTTTCTTTTGTTGGGTAGCTTTGTCTCTTTTCTTTTAGTTGCAAAAAATGAAGTTTGTAAAACAATCCTCCTTTTTTGATTTCTAGGCCTGAGTGTGGATCGTCCTTGTGCCCGAGCAGTAAAGGTTGACTGCCCTTGTCCACTGTCACAGGTTACATCCAGAAATAATGTTGTGTGGGCATTGAGTGAGCAGCGAGCCCTGCTATACCGGGAGGGAGTACGCAGCTTTTGTCCTGAAGGAGAACAATGGAAGAGTGATATTGTCAGGTAATAACACTGTGGTGGGACAGCATCATGACCAGAATGACACAAATAATTGTTTTCAGTGCTGGAACTCCTTAATGTTTGAAAAAGTGTTACCTGAACTTATGTGTGTATGTATGTATACATGTGTGTGCACGCACGTGTGTATACACACATGTCCTTTAATCTTTGTCCAGACATATTCAGAGTAACTTGTGGTTTTCTGTCTGATGAATGACTGCTAAGTAATGAAAGAAATTGCTGTAAACAGAAGTGGTAACACAGTTAAAGCGAGTTTAGGAAAGTGAGAACAATTTTAAAAAGATCTTTATAATGTCTGTCAATATGACTTTTTTGATTAAATACTGCTTCTGTATTCTGTGCCATAATGGCTTTAACAAGCTCTCCAGATATTTGAGTGAATTTTTTCTGAGCTTAAATCTCGGCATTTTCTTGGTCATCCACACACCTTGATAATACTTTTCCATTTCCCAGTTACAGATTTTTATAAATATTCTGGGTAATTGGTATTTAGCTTTGTAGTTGATCCTGCGCTTGTGGTAGTTAGTGTGTGGTAAAGTTAAAAGCACTGTTAACTGCTGGCATTTTTGAGCCTAGAATATAGTCTCTCTTGTGGCATCATCCGGAAGCAAGTAATAGGAAGAAATTCCAGTCCTTGTCATCATATGATTTTTATCTTCTACTGACTATCCTATTGTGAAGCTTTAATTTGTGTTACCTCCCAATCCGGTATTTGGCTCTCAAAGTCTAAGGAAATATTCAATGTCTTGTTCAAATCTGAAATTTGCGTGTACTTTTAGTTTATTTAATGAAAATATGTGCTTGACCTACGCCTTAGGTACACTTAATGTTCTTGGGCTTTGTATTAAGGTTGCAGAAAGCAATCCCTATTTGCTCTTAAATTGTTGAGAAAGATTATTTGAAAGAAATAGCATTGTTAGCTACCTTTTAAATGTCTGATATGATCACCTGACCCCATTGAATTTCTGAGCTTGAAAATTGTTTACTTATACAGGAAACTTACAGTCTTCAACATTTATCTTTGCCATATCATTAGGCTGAGTTTTCTATTTATGGTCCCTGAACTGCTAATACTGTTTTCAGAATAGGTCAGGGAAGTTAGAGGAGACAGATTTATGAAGCTGCTTTATCAAAAACTTAACACAGATCTTTATTTTTATTTACCAAACAAATTAGCTTTTGTTTAATTTTATTGTTATATATCCAATTTTCAAATATCGAGTGATCTTTGAAGGACTTACTTTTTGTTGTTGAATGGTTATTACTTATGCAAACTAATAAAATTTGAATTACTGAATAACTGAAAATTTGAAATAAAATGTGATTTTTGAGCTTGGCACACTGAGTTCAACCATTTTGAACTGCTGTTAGCATTGTAACAGCTTCCTTAAAATATCGTAAGCATAAATTTGAATTAAGGTTTTTAATTTTTTTTCACTTGTTTGCATTTCCAGTGAAATGCAAGCTTTGGAACCAGTGTGTATAACCCTTGGAGATCAGCAGACATTATGGGCTTTGGATATCCATGGAAATCTGTGGTTCAGAACTGGTATAGTTTCAAAGAAACCACAAGGAGATGATAACCATTGGTGGCAAGTAGGCACTTTTTTATTTTGCTTTCAGTTTAGTCTTTTACCTTGAGTTTATTATTTGCATTGTTTTCCCATGGGATTCTAAGATAAAATTCAATTAATTGTTTGATAGATTATAGCACTCTTTATTTGGTATATTAAAACTGCAGTGTGGCTATGGATGAAATTCCTTTTCATGTCTGATATAAGAAAGAGGAAAAAAACATCCTACGGTCATCCAGAGCAGCATCACAGCAGTGCTCAAGAGCACAAGAAATGCATTACCAGGTCATACCAATGACGCATGTAGCTTGGTATCTTAACAGTGGCAATAAGACATGCTGTTTAGGCAGAGCCTTCAAGTCTGGCCTCTGAATGCAGTCTCTTCTCCAGTCTTCCAGTATCCATCCTTTTCCTTAGCTAGATGAAATAAATAATAAGTAGCCCCACAAAAATGCTTTTATTGTGCATTTTTCCATTCAGTTGAGGTTGCTTCGAACCATGTGAGGCTACTTGCTTCAGTTGCAGATCATGTGGGTAAAAACAAAATTTCCACAAGTAGTCTCTGGTATTGATTTAGAGTTCTTGACTCTGTTTTCCCCAACTTTTCTCATTTTCCCCAGAGATAGGTGGGGGGGGGAGAAGAGGGGTACAAAAACAGTTATACAGAAAAATTCTTTGTCTCCCTAAGGTAAAAGAATTTCAGTTTATGTGCATATAAGCGTTATGCATAGTGTGGCTTTGAGGTTATTGGCAGACTGCCTTTTTTTTTTTTTTTTTTTTATTTTCCCCTCCTCTAAGAGTATCCCAGGGTGTTGCCAACCTAGTTGTCCATGACAGAACTTGAGCAATTGCTTATTTAGACCTCCTCCTTCCTTATGAATTAAAATGCCCATGAGGTTGTTGTAGAGTATTACATGCAATTTTTTGCGATTGTGATTTTAAGTTGCTAAACTATACAAGTTTCTGTCTTCCCTTGGGAAACTGAAAATTCACCTCTTGGTTTGCAGAGTTCAACATGTTTTTAGGGGGAGAGAAGAGTCATCTCAAAACAAAAGGCTTCTTAAAATGCAGAAGTCAAAGTGGATTGTTGGGTAGGAGGGAGTTGTAAGCTGATGTTTAATACTGGTTTGGGTTGGGTTTATTGTCATGACGCTTGTTCAAAATGTACCATTTTTATTTTTCCCTTCCTACACTTTGAAGGTTTCTAAACTCTTCGTAGATTTCCTGTACATGAAGCATGCACACACAAAAAAAAGCTCTGATGAAAGATTCTGCAGTTCACCCAAAAGCTTAACTAATTATCAAGAATACATTTGGCTTTTTTTCCAGGTAAGCATCACTGATTATGTAGTGTTTGACCAGTGCAGCCTGTTCCAGACAATAATCCAGGCAACTCATTCAGTGGCAACAGCAGCTCAGGCACCTGTGGAGAAGGTGGCCGATAAACTTCGAATGGCATTTTGGTCACAGCAGCTTCAATGTCAACCCAGCCTCCTTGGAGTTAATGGCAGCGGAGTCTGGATCTCTTCAGGCAAAAATGAGTTCCATGTGGCAAAGGGAAACTTAATAGGTTGGTGTGCTTTTTCATCTAGTATTTTTAAGTTAAGAAAAACAAATAGGAGAAAGTAACTAACTACAGTTCTGTCACCATAAAAATTATCCATGGTGAGTCAGGGCAGCTTTAACAAACAATTCCATGTTTAAAAATTAAATGAAATGATTCCTTAGCATGTGGTCTTAAATACTTTCCCATTTAAAGGGAAATATTTTTCATGGAAAATTCATTGTCCCCAAGTGAACTGTGCACATTACTCCTTTTAGTACCTACACCTGCCTCTTCTCTGGGGTGAGAAGGCAATCTTAAGCTATTGTACCTGTTATATCTAGCACAGTGCAGTCTGGTTCATGATTGGTGTGACTATGCAAAACAGTCATGTTATGGTTTTACAGTGATAATAGAGGAATTGCTTTAGTTATTTTTCTTGCAATATTTCTCAAAATAGAATTTTGATTTAATACATTTCTTTGATCAGGTAAACACTAAGAGTAGACCTAAAACATTGTCTTTTTAACCTTGTCACCAAATTTGTCTCCTCTTGAAGACCATTAATTTTCTCCCTTCTCCTCCTTTTCTGCATTCCCAATTTTCTCTGTGTGTGTACATATGTGTACGTATGTGTTGGGTGGAGGTTTTCACCCCCTCCAACATTTTCTTGAAGCATTTATGTGAAAAATATTGTCTGGATGATATTTAGTAATTGATTGCAATGTAATTTCTTTTCAGTGGAAGCATTTTAAATAATAATAAATTTTAATAGAAAATTAAGTTTCATACTAATACCACTTTGTTCTTTCTTTCAAGGCACTTACTGGAATAATATTGTGCCTCGTGGTACTGCTTCTGCCACAAAATGGGTTTTTGTGTTGGCTTCCACGGCTTCGTCTAAAGAAGGTTGGTCAATCAACAGGGCAGGCATATAGTATCTGTTTTTTAGAGTGAAATTGATGGTGTAAGCAATTAAATATCCTGAATTACTTCAGATTTTGGGTGCCTTTTCTGTATGTAGTGTTCAAATATATTTGAAGTAAGGTGGAAATAAGTCTGTAAAACTACTGGAGATTAAAAAAAACAATAATTTGTAATTCACTCTACCACATTTGGTGTGGAGTGGCATCCAACAGAGAAATGGGTAGTCCTTTAGGAACAGTAACTTCCTAAATTGCCGCAGCGTGAATTGCCAGAATTTTTAGTATGAAATCTTGGAGCATGCTTTGCCAGAATGCCTATACTAACCAAGTACTTCTCCTGTCAGTGCAGTTATTGCAGCAAAATTGCACATTTTGTTGGTAAAAGTGCAACCACACTCAGGAATTAAACTGTTAGTTACAATAGTTAGCAATTGCATTATCTAAGTACATTAGCTTTGTTGGCAACAATGTGTGATTTAGAGCTGAAAGGAATACTGTTTTTCAAAGGCAATTATCAAGGATAAAGAAGAGCAAAAGAATAAAGAGAAGCGATGGTGCTATGTATGGTGTTATGTATGTCTTCTCTCTATTATTTTTTTCAAATGAGATGTTTCTTCAAATGAGATCACTTACTACTTACTTGATTTGAGAAAGGGAGTATTTAGGTGCCTAACTAAGGGCTTAGGATGAGTATTTGTACTTCAAAATCTTACCTTGTGAACATAGCCAAGAAGCTTTAGTTTTGGCTTCAAATGTACTCATAATTTTTTTCAGAAGTAGTAGATGTGTAAGCTTTCTCAGAGTGGATTAGGAATCATTTTAATAACTGAAATGTCCTTTCCACAGGAAGCTTTCTGTGGCTGTGCCAAAGCAACAAGGACCTGTTTTGTGTCAGTGATCAGAATCCTCAGTTTCATCCTTCTACGGTGCAGTTGCCACCGGAGACTGAAATGGTGCACTACTCTGCCTGCCAGGATGCCATTTGGGGTTTGGATAGTCTTGGGCAGATATTTATCAGAACCCTTTCATCCAGCTGTCCAACAGGGATGCACTGGACAAAACTGGATCTCTCTCAACTAGGTATGACGTTTTTATTGAGTAGGCTGTCTCTTAACTCTCTTAGCAGACAGTCAATATTTTCCTTCAGAAGTATTTTTTTGTTTACTGATATGAAATATTACACTTACTGGTTTAAATAGTATCTTACAATAATGGGCCTCACAGCAGAGGACTGTAAAGCATCAGGAACAACTATGGCTTTCAAACAGTGTTTCATTTAGCCCTTTGCAGATGACAGCACGTTTACTGTTTGCAAGATACTTTATATGTGTATGTGCTCCTTACATTTTGTCAGTCCAAGACAACTCAGCCTGACACAGTGCTGTGCAGGTGTACAAGTAGCTTTAACTATTTCTTTTACTACAGTGTAACGATAATCGTGTGGTCCTGGGCAGTTCCATACACAGGGCCCTGTATTTTGTGATTAAACGCATTCTTAACAGAGTGGTCAAAGCTTCATTAGGATCTTGTTGAGGAAAAATTGTGTTCCAGGAGTTACATGATCTGTAAGTGATGCAACTGATAACACTCTTACGTGCAGGTTTATACCGATCTAATGATTCAGCATAATGTTAAGAATATGCTACCGGTTAACTGCTCTTTTTATTTGGTTAGGCATAAGACCAAGGATGTTGACCGTGTTTTGATCATTCAGATATCCTGCCGGGTTGGCTCTGGGGTAATCAGGCCCCTTGTCAGCTTCATCAGAAAAATTCCAGTTAGATCTCTTTCTTTGGTAGTCTGACTGTTAGAACATTCTTATCTTCATGCTAACCTGCATTCCTGTTTCAACAGAAGATAAAAGAAATTGGTACTGTGCACCATTCTCACATCATTTTAAAAATAATTCAATGATCTTGCAATTGTTCCATTTTCAATGGCAATGTTCATGACTGGTCTGAGAACAGACAAGCAATTTTAACTTCAGGGTTAAGGAAAGGCAGATGCAGCTGGCAGACTTTAAGCCTCACATACGGTTTTAGTATACAATTTATAATACTTCATGGAAAACTTTTTTAAAAGTGTCTTTTAAAATTAATTTTCTTGCCAGTTGTACACCAGGTTTTCCACACTTGATGAATTGGTTCCAAATCATTAACCATACCATACTTTAAGCACTTGCTTAATGCCTTTTACCTTCACTGACCTACAGGACAGGTTTGTCCACACTGTCCTCATCTTGCTTAGCAGAGTTTGAAACTTTTTTTCATTATGCCCTTGCTTTCCAGCAGTTTAAATAATAACTGTTTAACTGAAATAATAAATATTTCTTCTATTATTGCTGTTGTCTGAAAAACTCAAAGAGTTCATAAAGGAAATCAGTATAATTGGTGCTAGCTGACTATAGTATCTAGCTTGTGAACTTCAGCGGTAGGTTCAGAGCTTCAACCCTTGCATTTAGTTGTTCCTGTTGGCTTTGCAGCACTCTCTGGTGGTACCACAGAAATCTGGAGTTAGGAAATACTTCAGACACTCTACTTTACCTGTCACTGTGGGTTAATAACTGTGAAAAGATTTTAGGCTTTTTTCTTTCAATTAAACATGTATGGTAGATCACTGCTGACAAGATAGTGCATATCCACAGTTATAAGAGCAATTTTTTGTTCTAATGGGGCTGAAGAAATAAGAGAATTATTGTTATTGTTAATAGGACTGTAATTTGGGAAAAAAAAAAAGCAAGTTGCTGTAAATTCAGACTTCTTTATGGAAGTGATGGGGTTGCCACCATTACTGTTGAAATATTCATATTATGTTGGTAGTATCTTCCTCTTACCTTTACACTATGTACTGGGAGTAGTATCTGGTAAGTTATTTTGATTAGGGTTCCACTGTGGTATCAAGATTTCTAAACACAGTAGAATGACCTTTAGGTTTCAACAATAAACAATGCCTCTGAATCATGCTGCTACTTCTAAACAGTGGAATAATGTGGTTAGCATGACCTTCTCCTAAGATAAAAACAGCAGGCAGGAGGAGGGAGAAACCCCAAAACATTTACATAAGGGCTGCATTTTTGAATATCAAATTGTACGGTAGACATAAATAATATCAGCTATGCCGAGTAGGTGATATGTGATTCCATGTTTGAGTGCTCTGATGGTTGTTTGGATCAGAACATTACAACAGCTGAGATGTCATGTGACAAAGCTGTTACTTTGAGTCATACTTTATGTTAGAAGGAATAATGAGGTTTTAAGTAAGATTTTGACTTTGTAGCTGAATGTCAAGCCCCTGCCTGCAATAGAAAGTTGTTCTGGCTGTTCTTATCCCAAGCAGTGGAAGTTTTTGTGTATAGTTTTGTCATTTGTTTTTAATATGCAGCTGCATGATCAAAGGAAATCTTGGGGTAAGATGAATTAATTTGAATTGCTTTAATTCAGAAAGTTAAATAATTTTGGTTAATGAGAAGATCTGTTTACTATTACAGATAACTAAAAGCTGTGTAGTCCTGTTGTTCCCTGTTCTTTCCCCCAGCAAGCCTTAACATCAGGGAATATTGCCTGCTGCAGAAATAAACGCTTTAAACTTGCACTCTGTGAGATAAAATTGCACCTCTTTCTTTAAGGAATGCTGTATATGATGCACTTGACAAGGATTTGTTGCCAAATTTCACATCACGGAAGAGAGAACTGTTACCAAGAATGGGATATCCCAAGCAGCACTGGCATGTTCAATTAACCAGCGAGGCCTATTTTTAGTCTTTAGTTTGGAGTCTGACCAGAGCGTTCCTTCTGTAGTATATCTGTACTGATTGGGTCCCTCTTTCTGTAGAACATGTTTTCCACTACTTAGCATTATGTTGTCCCAACAGTGACAGAAAAAAATGATCAAATGTTATGTATATTACATCACATGGCTATTTTAAAATGAATGTCAAAGAGTAAAAGTTCCACTTGACAGTTAACTAGCAGTTCTTTTTAGTGTAAAATATCAGGTATGCTTCTCTACTATACTTGCAAACTTTTAATAGTAAGATAATGGGTGCGATTGGGTAGAGGGGAAAAAAAAAAATCCAAAACATACTTATTTGGCAGCTTTGTTTTCATTGTGTTGACTTATATGGGGTTAAAATACTGCTGCACTTTTCAGATAGGTGTAATAAATACATACACTGTTGAATATAAATCCATTTGAAAATCAGCTCCTTTATTTACAGATGTGACACTGGTATGTTAACACTAAAATGCATGATCCATATGCTCTCATTTTTAAAGTGCTGGTAGCATTAGGAATGTTCTTTGCTGAATGTATTAGCAGATCAACACCTTTAAAAGTCTACAAGCACAGCCAGTTAGAGAAAAGTTCACATTAGGTCATGTGAAAGTTTGTCTAGGCACTGATAATATTTGTCACAGAATGTTTCCCTGCTTGAATACGGTTATTTTAGTAGTGTATTTTTAGTATGCTTTAGAAATTGCAATATCCTATGACTAAAACATTTCTTTTTAGATTTAAAAGAGCAATACCTCACATATACTACCTTTTGGTTTATACATTGTATCCAGTAGTTTTTTTCTCTCACAAGTTGTATTAACTTTTAATCATTTTTATGTGACTGTGTTTAAAGCTAGTTTAATACAATCAAGTCTAAATAAAAGTTCCCATTATTAGCTGAATTTGAAAGGAAAATGCCAGGTTGCTAATAGTTGCTTTGTTATTAGGTACTGTAAAGCTGATCAGCTTGACCTGTGGAAATCAGCATGTTTGGGCCTGTGACACCAGTGGTGGCATTTATTTCCGTGTAGGAACTCAACCTCTTAACCCAAGTTTGATGCTCCCTGCGTGGATAATGATTGAGCCACCTATACAGGTAAAATGTTGCTTACAAGTCTTTGTAACCCAGTGGTTTAGGTCTGTGCAATTGAAAAAGAATAATTTTAACACTCATGGAGAACAGTAGACCCAGATTTTAAATGTGTAGTTTAAAACTTTGTCCCACATGTTTGAATTCTACAGGATTTCTCTCCCAGCCAAGTAAAAAAAAAACCCAGAGTCTATATAATGTACTCCGAATATGCTGCATTACCACTCTAAGTCATCCCCAAATCATCTAATTGTTCGAAATATATATTTTTTTTTTTCCAAAAGTGGAAAGTTTTGTGTTTCTATCCTTAATGAAAGTTTACTCTTCCCATAACATAGTAGCTTTGTAGGCATGTAGTAGAATGCAGCCTTGGACTGCATACTGAATACCTGCTGTACGCTAGCCAAGAGGCTGGACTGGCAAACTGCACAAAGCAGAGGGTGTGGGAAGGCTCCGCTCAAGTCGCATGGTGCTGAAGTGCCTGCCTCCCTCTTCCTTCATCCTCACCCTTGTGAGTCTGGGACACTTGCCAGGGTGCTGAGTCTGGATTTAGGGACTTTCCTGATCATCCAGTGATTAGTAAGCATGCAGTACAATTGTGGCTCTTCTCCCTTGTTCCTGAAATGGGCAAACTTTATATCCCTTCTGCCTGCCAGCTGGGAGGATCAGAGTGGAAAGAAGTTTTCTAAAGTACCCTGGGAGCACCTTTTCTGAATATAGATACTGGACAAAATGTTTCTCCAGTGTCTGGTTTCTTTCTTAATCTCTCCTTAAACCTCAGTGCTTGCTTTTGTTGCTGCTCTAATACTTTGCAAGTTGAACAATGAAATGGGTGTAATTTCTGTGTTGTGGGTTGGGACTGCTGTAATGGAGCTGACCTCTGACTACTGATTTCATTCTTTGCTCCTTGGCACGAAATCACTTGAACTGTCTGCTGATCTAGCATAGAAGCACTGGATGTGTTTGCATACTTGATTTACATTTTATAGTGTTACAGAATTTCTCTTGAAGATTTTGAAATGTGTGATGCTTCCGAAAGGACATATTAAGAAATAAAAGTAAATCTCTGGCAGTGGAGTTGCAATAGTTTATTTAGTTTTTACATCATTTGCTTTTAGTTCTGCTTCTCTCTCAGCCAATTATTAGCTCCTGTGAATCTCAGGGTGTTACAGCAAAGAAGGGCAGGGAAACAGGGAAATGAAACTGCAGATTTGCATCCCATCAGGTAGCACAGCACTGGTTAGACTTGTTCTTCTCTGCTGGGAATGTGGTCAGTCAGACCTGGAGAAGTGGCACCTTGTTTTGCAGAATAGCAGAACAGACTGATAAATAAGTACCAATATCAGTTGCAACAAGGGCTAGATTACACTGCTCATTCTTTGTGTGCTGCAAGCGAGTCTTTCTGATGTAATCTGTAAGAGACAAATGTTTCCTGCTAACAGGAATAGGGCAGCAGGAAGAGGAGACCAAGGATATCAGTGATAATGTCTTCCATGAGGGTAGCATTCTTAAAAAGGGGCGGAAACGCATTCCAGGATGTGTTCCACTTAAACTGAGTTTGCCAAGAGACAGAGAATTAAACTTGTGTAGTATCTTCTTAACAAAGATTTGTCTATCCAGGAAAATAGCCCAAAAAGCTGTTTCTCTATACCGATGCTATTTTGTCTGTACTAAGTGCATTCTCTACTCCTCCTCTGAATTAGATTAAACTATTCAATACAAAGGTGTTCACAAGAAATTAGGATTTGTCGTGGCTCATTATTTAGTGGTGACTTCCTTGCATATAAGTCTTTAATTGCACAAGGTTGAAAATAAAATTATTTCCTATTAGCTTATCGAGGAAGCTGGGTGATGTTGCCTTCCCAAATGATAACCTTCTGATACCCAGAGCAGTGTCATTCTCTTTCCTGTTATTTTGCCAACACCTGACATGGCAAATTTAATGAGTCAATATGAAAGGGCAAAAATTCAAACGTTGCTTGCAGAGAAGATGAAAACTCTTGGGTTACACGCTCGTTTTGAGACAAATCCAGCATGTTAAAACAAGTCATTAAAGTACTGAGGGAGCAGCCATTCATGCTTTTACAAAGACTTAATGCAAAATAAGAAAATACGTGAACTTTAAAATGATTTTCAAATGCTAGCTTAGTGTTTGCATAACAAATATAACATGATGGCTGAAAAGTGGACTATTCCGTGAACAATATTTGCTTATTAGCAGCACCTTACTGTTATCTATCCCTTAATTGACTTTGACACAGTTCATGCTGCATCACTTTATCTTCATAACAACAGAAATACTGTAAGAAATATTTGTGAGTGATTCAGTCCTTTTCTGTTTGAAGAAGGAAATCAAAATTGCCTTTCACTTGCTTTAAGTACAGGAGCATTCTCAAATAACGTAATTTAAAACCAACTATGGATATTTTATTCCCTAGTAAATGTCAGAGCCAATATGACTTGCCATATCCCAGATCTCATGGCTCATGAGCAGCCCATGAGCAGCTACAGACTCTGCTTTTATGGTGTCATTTCTCATTAAAGGAGTGCTGCAATTGCACAGCATCCACCTTTGTACAACTTCACAAAAGTATTCAGAGACAATAGTTTTGATGAGATTTTACTTATGCTAAAATCAGTGAATATAATTTCAGTGTTTGCTCTGTGATGCTGTGTGGTTTTTTTAATCTATACTAAACCGATTCTAGTTTGTTACTCTTCCCTTTGTAACTCCCTACTGCAATATCTCTTGAGATGAAAAATAACATTTTATGTTGTCTAGCCTCCCTCTTTATTTTATCCAACACTTCAGAAGTGGTTGATAACATCATTACAGTGTCTTGAGCAGCAGTAGTCTATATGTAGATGTTTTCTGTGCTTCATCCATTCTATTCGGCAGTCTTAGAAGTCAAAATAATTACACAGTTAAGCAGCTTTTTGGAAGCTGCTTTAAGGACATTGACAAAGCTGCTCAAAATTATTTGATGAAATTATTTGAGTCCAGGAAATAGAAAATGTTTTTCATTCTATTGTTAATATACAGGATAAAACTATTATCTGCTGTAGCATGCCTCAATATACATTAAATTTAATTCAAATAAATGAGCAAGAAATATAAATATTATTTATGTAGATACTATAGAGTATGTTTCTATATGTGTGTGCAGGTATATTTATGATGATTTAATGCTTTTCAGATTTCTGGCCTAAAGAAATAATAATTAAAAATCAAATATAAAATTAATATAGTCAATAAGTCTAATTTCTGTGATTATGGAGTAGAAGTTGATAGAAAAATCCTCAAATTGCTTTAAAAGATCCCTGGAAGTTAAATGCTTGTTTGAATACTTTCAACATTTCCACTTTGCTTTTGGCACCTTCTGAAAAAGGTGCAGAGACAAAAAGCTGATCTTGAGAAACGTTCACTTCCAGCAAGTACTACTTAACATAAAAACTCGTCTTAAGAACCACCTTCTCAGATTTACATTAAGGGATCTGTCAGATAAGCAGAACTTTATTTAAGAGGATTAAAGGAAACAAAGATCAGGACAAGTATTTGTAATGAGTGACCAATCATCTATTGCTTGTAAACAATCAATCTTACTCTAAAAATAGATTAAACATTTTATTAATTGCCATTTGCTTAATTGGTACTCTTTGCTCTTTTGTAACCAAATTTCATAGAGAATAGGATTGAAAAAACAATTTTATTAAATTGAGAGGTTTATTTCAATATCTGCATAGCTTGTCCAAACTATGGAGCAAAAGGGTTTTATTTAAGGAGATGTTTGTGATTTGGCTACTGTATAAAGCTTTGGTTGATCCTTTGTGGTTCCTAGGGTCTCAGCAGAAGAGTACCGCTTAACTTAGTTTGCCATAAAGTGGTTTCTTGCAGTATGTGCGTTTCAAGTTAGAGAAACTTTGATTTACTACTCTTGCCATAAACAACCTAGTATTGTCTCTTTTCATTTTAAGCTTGGTATCATAGGTAAGAGAAAATAGCCAACATTCTTACTGATCTGGGAGGAGCTATTTTTTTCTCTCTCATACACAAAAAAAATTAAGGCTGTTCACACTTTCACTGTCATTCAAAAATTGTTAAAACTATGAAGCAAATGGTAGTTTAAAATATTTAGGAAAAATTTAGGAAATTTCTCTGTAATTCTGCAAAATCAAAACATGCTAGATTTCATTTCTTTTCAATACTTTACTTTTTCTTAATCTACACTCAGTGTAAGGAAGTTGATTGTGCCTTAGGGATGAGTGATGACTTGTTAGAAATGGTTGTCATGATCTTTGTTTCCTTTCCTCTCTTTAAATGAAATTCTGCTTACCTTACAGAACTCTTAATGCAAGTCTGGAGACTTTCTTCCTCTGCGATCTGCCTTGCCTTTGCATTTTTCATTGAGGTTTCTATTATTATTAAGGCCAGTTTTGTGTTAAGTGGTACTTGCAGGAGGAAGCAATGAGCACACCTCAAGATCAGATTTTGCCATGAGGTCATTTTTGGTAGGTGCCAAAATCAAACCCAAAATGTAGGAAGGGTTTGTTTGAAATTATCTTCAAGGACTGGAGATTTGGAGGGGGAAGAATTTTTCTGTTGAATTGCTTCATAGCTTCAGAATTGTCCATGCTACTTTTGAAAGTATTTGCCGTGGAAAACTCTGTTTTTTTTCTAATGCGTAATCCACATGACTGTTCTTTTCAAGTCTAATTGTTTTCCCTAGCACAGACTAGCTTGCATTACCTAGATGTTGCACAGGTATCTTTGAGTTGCTAGGAGTTCTACTTTGGAGTGCTAAGATGAGATGCAGAGGAAGTATCTTTAGACCGATTCTGCTTAGGTTGGAGAGGTAATACACTCATTAAACCTTCTGGTTATCTGTAGACCAGACTACTTAGTTTATTGCTCTATATACCTTTACTCATGCGAGGCTTCCTGAAGACATTAGTAGGGAGAGGATTTTCCTGGAGGACTGCGCTTTTCAAGATAATGTAGAAGAAAA